CTGCTTGTTTCCTGGCAGGTGTATCCACACAGGAGTTAATGTGCATTATCTCTCCTTGCCCTGCAAACAGCAGAGCTCTCCTGGGTGCCCTGGCTCTGACTGCACCTCCCTGGCCTCACAGAAGTTCAGCTGTAGATGAACTGCTACTTGCAGTGTCACAGCTGTGCCAGGAAGCTCAGATCAGCCCAGGAATGTCCTTGTGCTAAACACCCTAACACAAGCATAGCAGGAGCCAGCCAGCCTCTGGCCCAAAGGTACAGTCTGGAGCAGCAGAGGAGACTCAAGCAGAGGGCAATGTGAAGGTACTTCCCGGTGAGTGGATCCAGAGATAAAGCTCAGAACCAAATATTCTGCAGTCCAGTAATGGAATTTAATGTCAGACCATACAACTTGTGAAAGGATTTTGCCACTCTGCAAATGACCAAAATAATTTTGAGATACAGAACTACTCCCCCTGTGCTGAGGACAGGTTTCGGAGAGGCAAACAAAGTCCCTGTCTCCTTCTCCTGCCCCCCAGCCAGTATGGATCTCACAAGCACACTTTCCTATGGTATCTAGTTTTGTTTACCTTCTTGGCCATTCTTTACAAGTCTCTTCCCAGCCTCTGGAACACACTAAACAATCATGATATCACCACAGAAATCAGACTGTGGATAAGCACAGAGCTCTGCTATCAGTAGTTGAGGCACTTTCTGTGACAATTCAAAGGTGACATCATGAACTGTCACCCGTGTAAAAGAGGCTGCAAACTCAGGACAGAGACTGCAATGAAATGCTTGCAGATACCAAGGGAGAGCAGTAGTACAAATCAGTGTAGGTATCAGTGTATTCAAGGAGCAGCACAACCCCCCTGCAAACCTCTATGGGTGACATTTTATGGCTGTGTTGGCTCCGGGTGTTTTCCAGAACAGCACCATTCTGCTGCATAGGCAAGAATATATATCTCAGGTTATTACCAAATGCAATGTGGAAGACTTCAGCCTATCGAAGTTCCTTTTAGCTGAATTATGAAATTTTGAAACCTTCCTGAAGTTTGCCAGATGACAAAGTGGGATTACTGTTATAAGGAAATGAATGCATAGCTGAAGGGGAAAGTGTTTTATAGCATCTGATAACACCTTAGGCACTGATAGGACATTTTTGTACAGGTTGAAAATGCATTCTTCATTTTTCACTGACAGCTGGTTAAAGGAGGAATGCAGTGAAAAGTCTATAAAAGCTTTGAAAAACCCCTAAAGCTGGATAATTCTGTACTTCTGTTTTTCTTCCACCCATGCTGGTAGGTGAAGTTGTTACCAGTATCCTTTGGACTCATTGCCACCTTGGCCTGTAACCACACCAGCAACAGAGAGTCTACAGCACTTCCTGAACCATCCCTTTTAAACAATAGGGTGGAAATATTGGAAGTAACTTTTTCCACAATTCTTTTTCACCAGCTTGCATGAGGTCTATGTGCTGCTACTCCAGCAGTCTGTCTTTCATTCCTCCTCTTCCACTGGAAGACCCTTTCTGTATGGCAGCAGAGCTGGTTTTGGAGTCTGTTCTTACTTCTTTTAGCTCCTCCATGTCAGATACTGCTGATCATTGATTCCCATTTGATATGTTTTCTTTCCTTGACTTTGCAATACTCTCCTTGTCTCTTCCTTCTCCTGCCTTTGGAAGTGCTCCTCCTACATCTCCTTTGGGAGACTCTGTTCTTTCTTTTTCTAACATTCCCTGGGGCAGCTCTTCCTCTGTTTCTATTTTCTTCTTCTTCCTTCCTCACAACCTGCTCCCTCACACTCATCTCCTCCTACAACCCCAGCTGCTCTCTCTCCATCAACAAAGCACAAACCAGCCTGATCAGCCACTGTCCATCCAATCTCATGGATTTCTCAGCTTCACTAACACGTCCTTGGATGTCTCAGTTTCAGATTAAAGGGATAATGCCTAAAGCTGGTGACCTGACTCTCTTCAGCCCACAATCCTCTGTCAGTGTTGCAGCCCTCACTTTCCTCCTGTAACTTCACCTCTAACAGCTTCTCCCACTCTTTAAACCTTTCCTGAAAGAACTGTACCTTTTCACTTTTTTATCGTTACACTTTTGAGAGCATCTTCTTGCTTTCCATTCACACAAACACAGGTTAGATCCAGGTCCTTCTTAGGACATCATCTCTCTCCTGGTTTGTGAAAGCTTAGCAAAACACTGTGTTACTAAGTAAGGCCTTCCTGCAAGAGAATCTTCATTGGCCTCTCCTTTCTCCCCCTCTTTTCCTGGTGTTCCCTTCTTTCTTTGAATCCATTAATTAGCTCCAGTCAAGGTTTATTACACTCAGCTCTTTCAGCAATACTAGTAATTTTTTACTGCTTTTTTCCATATACCCTTATGAATTTCATCTCTCTTTGAGAGATGAATCTCCTGTAGAAGTTTTCTACCTTTTCTCTTGTAGAGGAAATCAGTCTTGTAGAAAAAGATATCTGGCGATCTAACTTGCATTAGCAGATAAAATAGCTTAGATACTTTGGTCGTTTCTCCTGAAATATTACAGCAGAACGAAATACGCTTATTGTTCCTTTTACCCATGCACCTATGATTTACTAACAGAATAAATGTATTCTTTCCTATAAAGGCAGCAAAAAGACACTAGAAAACAGGCAGGGGAAAAAAAAATTAAAAAATAGGCTACAGGGATTCCAGAGGCACATGTGGTCATCCAGCAAGATGAGCCAGGTGTGCTCTCCCAGAAGTGTATGAAATGCTGATTGCAGCGAGTTGGAACATTGCAATTGCAGAGAGATTCCTGTAATCCTGTCTGGTACTGGGCTAGATGGGCATTTGCTCTGCTGAGTTCCTGTGTTACATCCCCACAGTCCCTGTGTTCCTGTAACAGTGGGATAACCAATAAAGCTTTCTGATATCATACACCCTTTGTGTTCTTCCACCCTTACACAAAGCCTTGCCTTTCTTTACAAGAGGGACTCACTTTGTGAACTCCCATGGACTAGGATCCCATCTTATTTATTTGTCTTGAAAACTTCCCAGCACTTTTTATGGGAATACTTAACATTCTGATTATTAATAACAAGAAAAAATGGTATTATGATGAGAACAGCAGAACTGCTGCTGGCAGAATTATTTGCAATCCTAATTTTACACATCCAACATGCTGTCCTGAACCTCTGCCCCTCCAGGTAATATCAGCTGGGGGTTTGTTTTGTTTTTCCTTTTCCAATTCTGCTGAAGGCAGTTTTCTTTGCAGCTTCCATCCATTAATCTCAAAGTACTTTTACATAGAGGAATTAATTAAGACTCTTGCACACGAGAATTAATTAAGACAGTAGTAGGCATGTTTTATCATCTCCATGTTGCACACGGGGGAACTGAGGTGAAGAGAGTTGCCCAATTCTTTTGCAGAGCTGGGAATGTAGTTGGGCATGTATCATATCCTCTCAAATTGGTGTATAAGAATATCCTTCTCTCCTTACGTTGTGAGGCAAATATCCAGTTTACCGAGTAAAATACCATTGACACACAGTCCTGTACTTCAGAATGGAAATGTTTCCCTCAGGCGAATACCTTGGCCAGTTGACTTTCCAAACACATCTTTCTTTCTTATTTCAGACAGAAAGAAGCACACAGCACGAAAAGCAAACTACTGGAACTCCTGTGGGATCTGATAACATTTATACTCTGCTAAAGAATTGCCCCAGTACCTGAAATCTGTAATCTTATCATCCTGCTTTAACAGACTCTCCCTTTCTCAGCACTCACATATACTTCTGTTTGATAAAGAAAGAAATATAAACCTAATGACTTGGGATTTTTATCTACAGCTCATAAAACCTTTGCAGAGCTGATTCTGGGCTACCCTGCTTCTGAAATGCACCAGTGCCACCTTCAGACCACAGTAAAAAGGGCTTCTTCACAAACCATCTGTATGGCAGTGGTTTTGCTTTTCCTCCAGACAAGTTGTGCTGGAAAGCCCAGCAGCACATGTATGAACCTGAGCAGAACCTGCACAGTCCCATCCCGAAGCACAAATGTTCACTGGGAACAGTGGTCCTTTATTTTCATAAATAAACATTAATAAAGAGAAATCAAGCACCACTTTTTAGTCCCTGGCATGAGAATCCTGGCCCGCTCCCCTGCCCCTGCTCAGCCTGGCAGAGCAGCACAGCAGCTGGGCCCTGCTCCTGCCCTGCACTCTCACAGTGTTTGCAGCTGCTGCTGTTGGTCCATGCACTGGGTATGTCTGTGTACAGGTGTGAGTGCAGCCCAGACACCCCACAGCCATCCCATGCTGCCTGCAATCTGCATCACACCCCCCAAAGGGCTCTGCAGGGAGAGGAACCCCCGGAGAACACGACCTCGAGCTGAGTCACAGCCCCTCCTGCTCTGTGAGGGCATGACCTGGACACGCAGGTCCACTCCTGCCACAGCCCCTCCCTGCCTGGCTGGGACTGTAAATCAAATCTGGCTCTTCCATTCTGAAGTTTCTTCTAAGCCAAAGTATTTGACAGGTCCCCGTTACCCTCAACAGAAGGATTTATTTAAAACCAAACCAGCCTGTCATTAAATATTAGAACAGGTAACAATTTCAGTGACTCAGTCCTGCTTTAAAAGTTTGATCAATATCAAAAAAAATTGGTGCAATGCTGTTTCAACAAGAAAGAACAGTTAATTAAATTTACAGCCTCTTTGCTGACATACTACTTATTTTATATTTGGTTTGATTATAATGGGCAAACCTCATCATTTTAAAACTAAGCAATTTGCATTTGTAATTAGAACCAGTTCTGAAAAAAGTTAAAATACTTCTCAAATTAAAGTTTATGCCTCTGGTATTTTGATTAAAAAATTACCTGTGATATAAGTTCAACTGACACATACTGGGCTGGAGAATATTGTATCAATATAGGCTTGAAAATCAAGGTGGGGATTAATTACTTGAGTTAATTTCTTTGACCTTGTCCTATACCGTTGTTGAGAGAAGAAAGCAAGCAGAATGTACTCTACTCACCCACTGTCATACCATCCATGTAACGCTTGATGATGTCAAAGGAATCTCTTAAATTTCCCTCTGTAATGTCAAATATGATATCTGCCTGGTTGGCCGGATACGTAGGTGTGATGGCACGAAGGAAAATAATCTCTGCAAATAAACAGTATCACAGAGTGTCCTGAGAAGCATTTGAAAACACCACTGAAGAATCTGACAGAATTTGATCCAAAATGACTTGTCCTCAAAGCTGGTGGAGGACATCCCCTCCCCTCACCACTCCCAGTTTGTCCTTTAAAATGGAAAGAAAGAAGATCTGGGGGAAGGCAGGGTTTGGATGGATTTATTTTATCCTCCTGCACCATCCAAGAAGCCCTGAAGCCAAAACACTCTTACTGTTAAGAGTCCAGAAAGAGCACTCTTAGAAACCAGTCTGACTTGCAGCATGTACCCCAAGAGGACAACATGGAGGACCCGAAGGGTGGGCAGTGGAGGGAGCCAAACAGATCACTCTGATTCCCTCAGGCAAAGTACTGCCATTAGAATTTAGAGTCCTTTGGAGTACTGGAGGAGGGGTTTAGGTTTAAAAATAAAAGGCAGACTATTTTTAAGTCCCTTGTGAGGGAGGTAAGTATTATTACTCTCATTACTCTCCCCACTCTGGAGAAGATGAAACTAAACTTTGAGGCTGTAAGAACTCATCCAAGGCCATGCACTGAATTCCAGTTTATGTCTCCTGGGCTTTGGTAGTGCTCTCAGATTGCTGGGTCTCATCTCTTTTTATTAAACCATGAGGCTGGACTAGTGAGGGAACAGTTTGGGAAGCATCCTGGCCAAACCCTTTGCTCTGCTGCCAGTACATCTGGTGAAGCTGAAGGGGTGGGTATGGGAGCAGAAGTGGCCGTGGAGCATTCCCTGATTCCCTGGGAAGCAGGGCCAGCCAAGGCCTGAAACAGGCCTGACACAACCTACAGGAGCTCTACATGGCCAAGGGATTGGTGCTTAAATTGTTCCTCTATGGACAAGGACTGGGACGTCTCCTTCCCCACTCCTGCCTGATGTAGAGGGGAAGAATCAGTTTTGGTTTTCATTAGGACAACTTCCTAAGACAGCAAGGCTGAGTCTCTGGCTGCATCAGAAACAGAGGTTTAGGACCTTTAGAAACCCCTCCAAAACAGTTTTCCTTTCCTCCATGCCCTTCTCTCTGTGCCTGTAGCACTCAGTGAGGGGCTGGCCCTGCAGAGCAGCAGGGCTGCAGCACTCATCCCCCTCTGGGGATGTACACAGCCCCCACTGACCAGAACACCTGCACAAATGCCAAGGAACAAAAACTGGTTCTCCATCTGTAAGTTTATATGTGAACTAAGAAAAGTGAGTGTGATCCTTATGAAACTGCAGGGTTTGGAAACTCGCAGGTGCTGCAGGGGGCAGCCACTCACTTGGAGGCTTTTTGAACATCTTATCTTTAAAACTTTCTGTCCAGTCTTTGGAATTTCCCTTCCTTTACTCTGTATGTTGACAAACAACACTTTGTTCCCAGGTCCAAAAATCATCCAATCACGTTCAATGTGATGAATTTTGTGATTAATGTTTGCATGTAGGTAAGGGCTTTATTCTCGGAACAAGCCACCTGTCAATAGCAAAAAACAGCTCACAGACAGATGAGAGGAACATATTGAATACCTTTCTCCTGTGGCAGAATCTGCAAACAAGGGAAGAAAAAAGTCACGGGGCACATGGCATTGTGTGAGTAAATGTGGTACAAGGCAATTCAGAGTCAGTATTTCCTTAGCCTGGGAAGCAGTAGGAGTTAGAGCTCAGAATTACTTTCTTTCCCCCATAAAATTAAAACTCCTGGCTATAGAAGGTCTTAATTAAATGAACACTACACTGTAATTTGGAGCTTTGCAAACATCTCACTGCACAGGTAGCCAGTCTGGCTTTAGGCAAGGCTTTCTAGTGGAGGTTTTATACAATGTAGTCCAATAAATGTAAGAAGGAACAAACCCACTTACCTTCAGGTCTTGTAAATTCCCTAAAGGTGGGCAGTGAAATGACAGTGTGGGAAATGGTGTGGACTGGATCCAGCACACAGTTGACATCGTTTGGTCGGCAGGACTTGATGCAGCGGATGGTGTCTGTCTTCTCAAGCCTGACACTGGGACAAACCAAAAAGAGATGCATATATATCCTGAAAATTGAGTGCTTTGTGATATGCAGTCTAAGGAGCCAGAAACTGTGACTGATATAAATGTTCACTCTACACTCTGAAAACTCAGATAAATGCAGCTCCTCAGAACTTCAGGACCACTGAAAAACTTGGCTTGGCTCTGAGTTGCAGCCAAAACTCCCTCCTCACACCCAGCTCTTCAAGCCAGGCATGTGAAACTGGGAGAACTGGAGTGCAGAAGATGCCATGTAAAGTGTCTTTCCAAGGACAAACAGGACCAAACAATGAGGCCCAGGCCCTCAGATGGCCTGGTCTCACCGATTCCAGTGGAGCTGCACTTACTTTGCACAAGCATTTTTCACTCAGTCATATAAAGCAGTAACAATTGTTTCCACTCTAGGAATCTGGCAGGATATATGTGAAGGGCCAACTTTCTTCCATGACTTTCAGTGCAGCAAGGGCCAGAAAAGCCTCTCTCAAATCTTTTTTTCACACCCTCCCCTTTCCATCCGAACAGAGAAAACAGAGAGGAATGGAAACCAGGGGAGGAAAAAATTAACCACGTTATATGAAACCTCAAAGATTGAATTCTGAGTTTGGGGAAATGGTAAGGGTCATTTCATATTCCAGCTCAACCAGCTGCTCATTCGGCCTTGAAAGTCTATTAAAAGTTAAATGACTTCTTCTCACCCTTGTCCACCAGAGTGAATTTAAAGTCACTTACAGTTCAAGAACTTCACACAATGCCCACTCTGTGCTCATGAGAGATGAAAGGGCTGTGCTGGGACTTAAAATGTGACTAAGCCCCACAAATGATCTCAACTTTGACCTGCCCATTTCTTCATATTTCTAAGTGGAAAAAAGAAAAGACTGCAATGTCAGAGGGGGGGAATTAAAAGATTAAAAGGGAGACAAATTCACAGAGTAAAAGGGAAACAAAAATGGAAGCTTTACTTTGTCAGATATCTCTAGAAACAAATGGTTCTTGCTCTTTTCAAAATGTGCTACCTAAATCCACACCTACAAACCATCTTTTTTAGATGTTCAGAGGGACTTTATGGCTCTATTAACAGTCAATACATCAGTAAGTCTTTATTCCGTGCTCCCCACATTTGCTCATCAAAGAAAACAAAGCCTAACACACTCATACTGTATGAAGCTAAAATAAAGAGAAAACAGGAATCAATATCAATGTTGTGCTTCAACAGATGTGAACTGCACAGTCCACAGGGAGGCAACAGAGCTGGGTTAATAAACACCAGCTGAGTCTGGGGTTCACACCCTGTAGTTGGTGTTTTGAGACTGGCCAGGAGATCCAGGCCAGAAGAGACCTTCTACTTCCCACCTTTACCTGGGTACAAAATTTTGTCAGTTCCTGGACACCCCCCCAGGGAACAGGATAGGCCTTTCTGCTGAAATGCCTCATGCTGACCATTTCAGAAAAAAAAAAAATTTGAGATATCCAGACATAACACTCTGACCTACAACAATATATGCAATTCCCTTGTTTTAAACCTCAGCTGCCAATTAAGAAGAAACTTCCAGCTGGCTGATCCTCATGACTGTGAAATAAGAATCAGCTAAATGACACAGTCGAGGTCCAGTGTAAAATAGTCTATTTCAAAACATGTAACAAATAAAATTGATGCAAAATAAACACCATTCATGTTTGTTTCTCTCTCTCCCCTTCTTCTTCCTGTGTATGGAGAGTTTAGTAAACATTTACATATAAACCCACTGCATTTTTCCTCAGGATTCTGCTGAGCTGGGCTCACAACAGCAAAGTCCCACTAGTTCTAATTCCAATAATGTGTTCACAAATTACAGAAAAGTTCTTTAAAAGTTTTTCTCTTTTTCTACAACACATAAATAATAACTAATAATAACTGTAATAACTAATAATAGCTTGCATAACTTATTTTGGGATCTTATTACTAATGCAATACTGTTAGAATACACAGAGCATCCCAAATTTCCATAGCTGTGTTTAGATAATAGAAAAAATAATGCAAAACCCATTGTGGTGGGAGTGTTTGAGGAATTCAGCATTGGTCTGTCTTTGCTCCTTCCTGATATTTGCTATTAATGATGTGCTCTGATCTCAAAATACTTTGTAATTTTATTCTTGCACATCATCTTTGTATTTGATCTTCTGGTAGCTGAGGTTTTCCTTTTTGTTTATATTCTGCAGTGGGACTTGTGACTGACAAAAGTTTCTTCCTACATGCTGAGAACTTTTTTTATCCAAACCTTTTTCACCCTCTAACACAAATTGCAGCTTTGGAACTGCTCCTTCCTCTACATCTTTTTCATTTAAAAGAGAACAAAGTTAAGAAACAACTCAGTTGCTCTGATTATTTCCTGAGTACAATTTTTTTTTCTACTTGGGTCCTGATATCAGTCCTTTTCATATTCTCTGTTGGATTCAATCAGTAAGTTCTTTGGACCAGGAGCTGTGATTTCATTTTTGTCTGGAAAGGACATAAGCGCATAAACGGCCCTACATAATTCCATATGCGTTCCTGGAAGTCCCAGTGACACTGCAGCATTACAGCATCTAACACAGTAGGATGTGAGCTCCCTGTTCTTGAATTCCCTGCTGAATGCAATTAATATGGCAGCATTTTGCAATATTGAGGGCCAAATTCTCTCTCCCTCCCTTTCCTGCCAAAGAAATATATATTAATGCTTGCAAAAATGAAGTTTATTTTTGAATCTTTATCCTACTTAATTATGGCCTCATAATGAACTGGTAGCCAGAGGGCATCTACATACAAGCATCTTCTGTGGTGGTAATAAACCCCACTAGCTCAGGCAGCACAGGCCTGTGCTTTCAGTATTTCAACCTGGGACTCCAGCCCCACTGGCAACTTGTGGCAGCTTTGGAAGTGTGTGTCAACAGGCTTATTAAACATCAGCATTCCTCATGAGACTGGAGCTCCTGCCAGCCAGCTGGGATAGACTGTGCCTCAGGGAATATGTAATGCTCTGGCACAGTGCTGTGGTCATGCCCGGATCCAGGTCCTGGCTGGTGATGAGCCCCAGAGCCCACACTCATGGAGTAATTCCTTGTGCTCAGGTGGTTAAGGCTTGGGATCTTCCTTCAGAAAATTCTCCGTCTCCCCCTTGTACCCTGTGCTGTCAGGATTTACAGAGTGAAGTATTTTTTCTGTATGTGCAGTCACCTGGATTATTCCCTGCTCGTGGAGGACTGAGTGTTCTCCCTGTGTGCCAGGACCGAGAGCCCAGGGTGGTGTAAAACACTCATTTTTGGATCACACCTCTGGGATTAAGCTTTTACTGTTAATCAACACAAGGACCAGAGAGTAAAATGAATCCTCTTCCTTTGCTCAGAAACAACAGAATTCCAAAGAAATTCCAGCTGTATTGTCTACATGTTCTTGACTGCGTAGAAGTAAAGGAAGAAAGTCAAAGTAAAGGAAGAAAGATTTGGATGCTGGAATTCTGGCTGACCTTTCAGGGCTCCTAAGGTTTGGTTTGATGATGGTAGTGGGTAAAGTCTTCACTATTCAAAATTTATCAGGTTTGATATGGAAGTTGGAGAGACAAAAGTGTTATGAGAAAAATCTTTTGAAAATGTTCCTGTAGACAGGGATTTCAGGATACAGCTGTGAGAGAGAAAGGAGCTCTGTTGTCAGCTGAATGCTGTCAGTGAGTTCACTGCTGTTCTCCTGTCAGTAGTTCTTCCATTCAGTGGAAATTCCACAGAAAACAAGATGAAAGATCTCTGAAATAAATCTTGTTCAGAGGACATTCTCTTTTGTAGCACCCTTAAAAGTTCGAACTGGGATCTGTACCTGGTGAGAATCAGCACAAGCTCAAGGGCTGTAACAAAGCACTGCCTCAGAATCTGGCTCCACACTTTCACAGTGGGCACCTCTGGGGTCCTAAGGGCTCACGTTATGACCTTTTAACAGATGTTCAGAAAATGCAGAGTATTTGCCCCTTAAGTGATGAAATTCTCTAAAGATGACTCAGTTGAGACAGCTCAAACTATGTACCTATTTTGTTTGGGAAATTCAGACCTAAACATATGCAGCTGTTCATCATCAGATGAGACAAACTCCACTACTGTGTGAAGTGAATCAATAGTTTTCAGTCCTCAGAACATCCAGGTAATAAGCTCTTAGACTCCAGTTTCTGCTTTGTATAATGATGTAGATCACACAGAAGAATCTCCCCGAACTGACATGTTCAGTTATAGGGGAAAGTGAAGAACTGGAATTGATGATGGCAAATAAAATGCAAGTGCAGCGTGCAATGGATGAACTAGAACTTTATTAAAATTTGCGGCAAAAAAGCTACTCTTAGAAGAGGAAGAGTAGCCAGTGATGACAGTAATTCAGTGATCAAAGCTGTGCAGAGACAAAGATAGAAAGTTTGGCAATAAATGTGTTGACAGTTCCATGGCGGGAAAGTTGCATTTGGATTGTCAGATGAAGGTCTCTGGGCTCTGTGATTTGACGCTGCATGACCACAAGGCCACTGTGGTTGTTCACTTTTTTTGTGGTGAAAAACCCCTCCTGGTTCCCGCTGATGATGGACAGCCGAATTTTATCCCCAGGGACAGCATTGGAAGGGCCCATGCGGAAAATGTCGGTGGGTACTTGGATGTTGGTAGGAAAAGAGAGGTGATAGTAGGTTATTCTCAGGGGCAGGCTCTGGCACTCCTTATTCTCATTACAAGGCAAGCGCTCACAGCGACTGCAAGACAAGTGAGAACACAAGACAAGAGGAAGATTAGCGCACGTGTAGCGAGCGGGAGAGGAGAGGAGGGCACTGGGGTGGGACAAGGGGCCCTGGCTGCATCCATTCTTCAGCCTGGCACCTCATTCCTACTGCAAAGGGATATTTATCACACAGGAATGGGCTTGACTGCCCTGGGAGAGGCGCTGCCATTGTCAGAGTGTTGCAGAGGTGGACGTGATAATCTCAGCTGGATCCTGACTGGGGATGATCAGGGGGCACATTTAGCTCCAAGGTTGTCTTGTTAACAAACTACAAATCAACTAAACTGTGTGCAAGAGTCTCTCCACTCCAAGCAATATTTACTCGATAGGTTGAGGTTTTGGAACCTAAACAATGTGTTTCTTTACCAAGAAATGCTCCAACAGTAAAGCCTGGTTGGCTTCTTTTTACCTCACGTAAATCTGAGTGCCCATTTAATTTATTTTATTTTGGCATATGAAATTGAGCCCCTATCAGGAGAATCAGTCTGTGGCTCATAAGCAAGCCCCTCTTTGTTGCCAGTGCAGGGTGACCTGAATTCCAGGAACTTCTCATTATATGCAAAATCAGCACTTTCAAAAAGAGTAGTTAAAAGCACCCTCAGTTCTTCAATTAATGTGCTGCCTGTTTTCTTTTAATACCACTTGCAAATGAAAGTACAAAGCAATTCTTTGAAGATCTAAATGCATTCTTAATTTTATTGATGTGTGTAAAGAGCATGCACAAGTCCTCACAGGATGGCCAGCTAATTAGGTGTGGATACTCCTGAAATATTTTCAGGTATAGAGAGTTCTGCATTCTTTTCTGAAATGTCATTAATAACTCTACTAAGGAGAATGGCTTGGTTTTGCTGAAATCATGAAGCAAGTCAAGACGGTTAATTCCTCAGCTGGAAATGTTTTCTTCAAGTACCACTTCTTGGAAGCACAGACATGCTTATGAGCATTTACACACTCATAAAGATGCTCTGCCTTATTATTTTATAAAACACATTTTATAATAATGGCCAGAATTTTTTAAGAGAACAGAAAACCAAGGCTCGAAGACTCAAGAAAGGACATTCTGCTAATTCAGAAAGCTCCTTGTGAAGATAGATGTGCCTGTGGCCAGGAGCTAGAATTATTCAAAACTCACCATCTTTTATCTCGTGCCTTGGTAGTGCACACTACACACTGACTATAGGCTGAGTTAATGTGCACTAATTGTTCCATCAAATAACCACAAAGGAGAGATAGCAAATATTATTGCTTTGGAGAACCAGGGTTCATTCTGGGGTCATGCACCGCAAAGGCGAGAAGCAAAGAGCATTTCAACTCCAGTGTACTCTCCAGCCCTCATTTTAATGCTTCCCCTCAGTGGGCAGCAGGAAATCAGATGACAGGGGAATGCAACAACCTGTTGGCACAGAATCACAGAACCACCAACACTGACATTATGGGGGAAACTGGGCTCCTCTGCTGTGGCTCAGGCAGTCTGGGGAGTTGGACCTGCACGATTCAGACTGCCTGAAAGAGCTCAGGTCTGCCAAGGCAGAAGATAATTGTTTGTTGCTAAAAGAAAAACACCTCTCTACTGATAGGGAGAATTGAATTGCTCTGAGGCAGATAGATTGCTACAGAGGCTACGAAATCCTTATCATCCAAGGACTTGAAGCAGAAGTTAAATAAACAACTCTCAGAAATATTCCAGGTAGGTCTGAGCCTTTCTTGGCATACAGGAGTGGATTAGGTTTACCCATTAAGGTCCTCATTTCGTATGTTTTATGAAAAAAAGGCTGCAATTTTAGAAAGTCTGCAGTTTCAGAGGTTTCACAGGGTTTTGGTAAGGATGACAAAAAGTTCAAAAGCAATCTCCTAAGGAATGTCAGATTTCTACTCCAGACTGTTAAAAGAAAAACAAAAATCACCAAGATGTCTTAAAACACACAAACCAAAGTGTTTCTTCCTACACTTGTTCTTGGAAATGAGTGAGCTGCTTTGGCTGTAATTGGCCAAAACTTGAGCCAGAGTCAGACACCTGGCTGATAAAATTTCAGTCATTGGTTACATTTTGGCAAAATTTTAAGGAGGTAAAGACAGGTCCTAGTAATGAGAAGCACCAGGCAGCTTTAATAATACACAGATATGTCTAGAATACACAAATATTTCCCAATTTGGCTCAGCCCAGCACACATTTCTGACACGTTGCCATAAACTCTTCTTTATATTTTCTACTATTTTTCTTGGCTTAAATATTACAAATGTTAGACTTCAGTGCCACATAAAGAGAATTTAATTGTTATGCAATTTGAAAACAAAAACTGTTTGGCAAGGCAATGCAGCAAGTTAAGTCCTATTGTGAGGAGCAGTAGATCTTAACTATCCTTGGAAAAATACCAAGCCTATAGGCTGATCCACGAAAAAACAAAAAGTAGAATTTAGGTAAAAGAGATAAGGCCTTCAATTAAATTGTTACCATTAAGGATCAGACTGTGCCAGGCGTTTTGCTGTCTCTGGGGAAGGTTACACAGGCAGTTTCCTCCTGGAGCTCAGTGTCTAAGCAGCATACTGAGCGTTCAGCCTGTAGCGTGGGACAATCCTGGAATTATCTCTCCTGATGGCCATCCCCACTGAACAGACACCATGCAAAACCTCTGCTTTGAAGGTATGGGGTAAAGAAGCTTCTGAATCACTGAGGGCTCTTGCCTGTACACAAGGATTTTAAGGAAAAATAAAATGAAGGAAACTTGGATTTACAGGACTGAGACCTGCTAAAGAAAATAATGGGGAACAGGGTAAAAAAAAAAATCTCCTGAGGTGCCAACTTGATGAAAGCGAGTCGAGAATATGTTGTCTCTCTTATGATGTGCCAAGCTGGTGAAACTTGAATGTGTTTTGAATGAAAGGGAGAGGAAAATGGTAACTGTACTAGATGTGACGTTATGAGTAGCCAGCTATTTTGATTTTGGAATATGGCACAAGAGTGAGTGAAAAAGCAATTTAATGTCATCATGTAGAAGGTAATAAAGACATCTAGCTATATATCATATATATAACCATGCTGGGTTATGTATGCTAAAACTAAATCAGTCAAGGAGATGTACAATAGTTTGGATGTAAAAAAGGGTGCTAAAGAGCTCTCATAAAACTCCTCCCCACTGGGCACCAGGTAACCCACTCCACAAACCCTGATTCCTACATGTTGTTGTATCCTGGCTAAGTCTGAGGGCACCCACTGCCTGCTAAACCCTCTGACTTCTCCAATAAAGATAATGAACTCATATTCTCTTTCCCTTATGCAAACATGTTTTCAACAGTAAATTTAGTATCTGTCTGTAGATGTTGAGAGGAAAAAACCTAATAAATCCAACAAGATAATAACTCAAGGAATTAAAATAATTAGAACTTCACTGAGCAGCTGCAGGATTTGTGTCTGATTCATGGCCTAATTATAGCCCCAGCACATCAGCAGGATCTTGCCCTGTGAGCAGGTCTGAGTTAGGCAGAGTAAGCCATTACAGAGTCCAACAACCCAGACACAGAAAAACAATTCAGACATTCTGTGGCTTCCCCAAAAGATCCCATACAGATCAAATAGCCATGAAAGTCCAATACAGGTGAGAGAGAAGACAGAACATATGTGCACCATGTGTATTTTATAAACTGAGCTCTGCAACTCAGGGATGTCCACAGCAGCAGAAATCTGCTAATTCTGCCTAGTGGCCCATTGCATACGATTTTTTTTTTTTAAATTAGGATACAAATGAACCCACTATTTTACAAAATTAGATGCCCCAACCCTGGCAGTGTTCAGAGCCAGGTTGAATAAGGCCTTGAGCAACTTGGTCTAGGGGGAGGTGTCAAGGATTTTGAAGCTGGAGGTAACCCTCCTAACAGGCTGCCTGCAAGGGAGCCAGAGAGAGAGTATCTGCTTGTGGCTCTAGAGTACATGACAGTGCAAAGCACTGACGTGTGGGTGTCCTTTTCTTAGACTGGAACAGGAGCATGAGAAGCAGACCAGACCTGTGTGTGCACTACACAGGGTAGGCCTGCCAACACAACACGTGTTTGCTGGGAACTGTTCTATGTTCAGTCAGCAGTGGTGGGACATAAAGGAGATCATGGCACCAAAAAAGTGCTTGCCCTTGACAGAGAAGGTGAAGAAGGTAAGGAAGGCACTTACGTGTCTCCTGACTTGCGGTAATTCTCTGGGCACTCCAAGGACAGGCAGCGAAAGCCGCCCTGGATGTTAAAGCAGGTCTCGTTGAAAGAGCAGTTGTGGCTTTCTGCAACACACTCATCGATGTCTGCCAAGGGAAACAGGGCAGTGGGTGAGACACTGGGGGTCAGACAGAGGGAGTCAGACACAGGCCCTTCCTCTCCTGGCAGGTGCCAGACAATCATAGTGCTCTGTCAGGTCCTACAGAACATGGGCTGCAATTAAACACTGGTGCAGGACTGGAAGGGGAGGGCAGCAACAACAAAAAAGAAGAAAATTAACCCAACAACCAAGAAGAGGAAAAAGAAGAGCAGCAGTGCCACTAAGTGGACAAGACCTAAACATCTGCTGACGTGTTTACAGCAGGATATTTCCTTTTAGCAGCTAAACTAACTCATACCAGTTCACAGTCTGAATCTTCATCTTCAGATTTTTATCATTATTTAGTAACATTATAAAAAGTATTCTTTATGGAATTCTGTACTTTATAATGGAAATTTCCTGTATATTTCCTGTATATAAAAGACTTGTTTCTTCAGATTTCAAGCTGTCATTTATTGCTTTCCCTGTATTGTTGTAGGAAAGACATTTTTTAAGCACAGAAACTCGCTGGAACTGTTCAGAAGTCCACAGTGCAGCGAGGTGTCCCTGCAGCCCCTGAGCTCACCTTGGCAGTTGCGTGCATTGGGTGCCAGCCTGTAGCCAGAGGAGGGACAAGTGCACTGGAAGCTCCCAGGAATGTTGATGCATCGGAAGGAACAGATGTGCCCCCCGGTGGGCAAAGCACACTCATCAATGTCTGCAAGGAGAAAACACCACTGGTTTCCTGTGTGTTCATGGCATCCAACTCAGTGCACGTGGACGGGGCTCCTGCTGAGAGCTTCAAACATAGTTTGATGGTTCTAATGCTGGGCAGAGCAGATCATCAGATAGGTGTGGCTCTAGTCAGTAAAGTCTAAATAGCAAAGACTTGCAGGAATAAATGGAGGTCTGAAGAAAATTAAAAGCAATATGAGGGTCCAAGGGACAAAGTATTGGACAAGAGCAAGCACTTTACAGTGATGTGTGTCACAGTGCTATACAAAAGGGAAGCAGAGGAATAGTTTTATCCTTGTTTTTACAAAAAAGGAAATCAAAATTAGGTGTTCTGCCCAAGGTGTAACTGTCCAGCAAATCCTGTAAGCCTAAGTCCAAATTCAGGATCTTGTCCATGAGGTCACACCCACATCCTCCTTGTATTTGAGGAGAACCTACTCACACATTAATTCAGAATGAGCCCCAAAAAGAGGATATTATAAAATACTACTTAGTAATGTTATATATTTATGTATGTAACATATTCATATCTTCACTTCCTGAAGACTAGAAATCCTGCTAGTTCCTGGGAAAAAATAAGTTTCTGTCAAGTTACAAAAATATTTCAAGCTCCAATTCGTGTAAACAGCAAAACACCACAGAAGCACAGAGATGTTTCTAGACAAGGGCATGGGAGGGAGACCCTCACTAAACACAGTTTCATAAGAAAATACAAGAGAGAATCAAATATTAAAGTGAAACAATTGCATGGAGTTGCTCCTGTTTGTGATGGTGGCAGTAAGAAATGCTGCCCAACCCTCACCTTCACAGGAGATGCCATCAATGTCGCTGAGCTGGAAGCCACGGCGGCAGTAGCACTGGTAGGAGCCGTACACGTTGGCACACTCTTGGCTACAGGGGTTGCTCTCACACTCGTTTAAATCTGAAACGCAAAGTTAAGACACCTGAACCCCAAATTTCTTGCTGCACTCCTAACACTGGACTAAAACAAAACTTTGGAAGGCAATTCTTTTTATGAAATCATAACAGCAAGAGACTGCAGTAGGTTGATTTCTCACACCATTCCAGTGGCCTTGCAAGTTAAAAATCAAACAGAAAGAGCTAAAGAGCAACGAGTTGTTTCTCACACCACACAGCCAAAGCACTGACAGCCGTACCTTCACATGATCTCCCATCAGCTGAAAGTTTGAATCCCATGGTGCAAGTGCAGTAGTAGGAGCCAGGAGTGTTCTCACACTTGTGAGCGCAGAGGCGGCCTGGGTAGCGTCTGCACTCGTTGATATCTGCAATAACAAGCACAGAGAGCTCTGTGGAGCAGCTGGCTTCACTGAAACAGCAGTCTGGGCAAGAACGTGGTCACAGAAGTTTGATTTTTATTTTCCAGATTTAAATTCCATACTAGAGAGGGAAGAAGTCCTTAAAATGCTCATTTAGAAACACCCCAGTGCATAACTGGATTAGATCTATACAGAAGAGAGCTGCTTTGATCTTCCAAAGAAATGTTTTGCTGTAGGTGCATATAAAATATCACAGAAAACAATTGCACACACTCTCACAATCTTAACTTTTAATGGGATGACAAATAACATGTTGACAATACTCATACAGCTTCCTTTGAAGTCTCAGCAGGTCTCTAATATGGTATTAGATTTATCCAAATAATACAGTAGTGAATTTTACATTCAGGTGACAGAGGTTACACAGAGAGCACTAACATTCCTCACACAGGCTCAGTGTTGAAGTGCCTTGGCTGCAGGTATTTAACTCACCAATGCAGGTCCTACTGATGACATCAAAGGTGTAGCCAGCCTTGCACTCGCAGCGGTAATTGCCCGGGGCATTGATACACACGTGCCCCTCCCCACAGGGCTGGTTGGGGGATGAGCACTCATCCACATCTAAAACAGACAGAGGAGTGACTCAACATACACTTCTGAGCATGCAAGTGGAGAGAAGAGCCATGTGTCAATGCACTTCTGTGTCCCCGAGTACTTATGGAGAGTTTTGAATCAGAAAGCAAGATTTTATCAGACTCTGAGCTTCTACAAGATCAGAGTCACCAACACAAACTGGTCATATCAAGGCAGGTTATCTGTCAGGTGTCCTTAATGTTGATGGACTTGGGAGAGAAAAGATCAGGAAGTCAGGCAACCTTTGGAGGAAATCAGGTGCAAAATTGTTTTGTTATGCATACTCAGTACTCACGGATCAGATCTTCATCTAGTGTAAGATGTCATAGGCCACAGGTAGGGCTTTGATAAGCCATTTACAAAAACTGAAAACACATGCAAAAATACCTCTCTTTGCAAAAGCCACCTCAGTTGAAAGCCAGCCAAAGCCATATATGTCTTTCAACATTATTCAAATGGTTTCTGTGGGGCATGAAGTGGGCCTTGTGTTATCCCTATCCCTCTGCACAAGAGATTGGGGACCACACAGTATTGTTCCAATACACTCACACAGTCACAGACAATGCCCTTTTAGGGGGAGATTATCATTTCTCCTCTCCTCAGAATATAGGGTTCCATGAGTTATATGAAGGACAGAGTGGATGCTTGTCATTCTTCACTTGTTGGGACCGCCATGAGGGACAGAACAGGATCAAGAATTGACTGTGGGAATGAGAGGAGTTTGAGCAAAAGAAACTGGTAAAGATAAATGACAGATGCAAGTTGTTTCCTTAAAACTGCTTTTTCTTACAAACTGTTCCTCACCTACACATCTTGTTCCATCTTCGTTGAGATGATACCCTCGGCCACAGCTGGGTGAGATTCGCTGGCAGGTGAAGGAGCCATCGGTGTTAATACAGATCTGCCCAGCTGGGCACGGCGTGTTGGTGCTCAGGCACTCATTGATATCTACAAGAGCACAAGATGCTTTCATTATGTAACCCTTCAGAAGTTTACATCCCATGTAACCCTGCAGACAAGATCTGCCCATGGCAGAACACAATTATTCATGCCCTTCAGCTTCCCCAATGCAACGCTGCCAGAGCAAAGACTGGGGAGGGGTGAGAAGCACAGACCCCACTGAAAAGCAGTGAAAATAGGGTATAGCACTTGTATTTGTTTGAAAGCCTCCCCTAAGCTTCCAAAGAGCTGATCAACAATTCAGCTCACCAGTTTAACCTGTTCTGCTTCAGTCTGTGCGTTCTGATTCAGCTCTCGGCTTCTACACAAAGATCAGTCACAAATCCAACAACAAAATCCCCTCAATGCCGCACAGGGCAGCATTTGATTCCCAGTGTGTAAAATTCACCTGTGAAATTGTTTTGGTAAATATTTTGAGGGAATGCCTCTTGGGGGCCATAACTGCTACAAACTGCTGTGGCTTTGCTGACATCTGTGACAGCAAGTTAACCCCGAGCTGCTGCTGACCCGGGGCTGCCTGTGGCAGGCACGTGTCCTCAAAGGGCTCGCTGTGCACAGGCACTGGCCCCCCTCATTTTAAAGGCTGCAATTCTGTTTTCAGTGTCAGATTTCACTCTACAGCGTATGATATGGTCAGGACAATGAGGGGTTGACAGTGAGCTCCACTTGGCAGCTGCTGCAGCTCAGCCAGTTCCACAAGTCCAAGACCTGCCGCGCCGATGGGGGAATCCAAAGGTAAGTTGAGACTTGAAAATACTACTCCAGGGAATAACTGGTAGATTTTTAGGACACATTAGACAATACCATTTAGAGTCTACTGGAAACCAGTAATTCTTAAGTATTTATATAAAGGTTATAATACTGTTTTAGGGAGTCTTGGAAACAAGGTATTAACCTAACAGACTGTCATCAGTCTTTAAATTAAACTCTCCATAACTGGCCCATCATTCTCATACACAGTAAGGTTCTTGATAGGCTGTAACAGGGGACAGGTCTGGAAAGACCTACGTACCCATAAAGCCATGCAGAGAAAGAGTGTAACAGAGGATGTCATAATTACAGCTTTTATACTGTATAAACTTCAGCTAAAACCTTTTGGATAGAAGCAGATAAAATACATCATAAATTTTGTTTCAGATAAAATACCCAAAGACTCAAGGAAAGTGTTCAAATGCAGCTAAGTGCCTTAGATAACCCGATCTCATTAAAAACAGCAATCTGCTATTTAAGTCTTTTATTTCATCTGTAAATCTTCCCTGTAAGACCAAGCCTGCCTTGAAAGGAGCAGAAAAACCCCAGAGCAGAGCAAAGCACAGATGAAGAATGGCTTGAGAAGCTCAGAACTCATGCGTTGAAAGAACAACTTATCTCCCAGGCAGCACCTGGGTGCTCCCTGAGCCCAGAAACAGCCTTACCGATACAGTTGCCGAGCGCATCTTGTATAAAGCCACTCATGCACTGTAGCTTGGGGCGGCAACGGAAGGATCCTGGAGTATTCTGACAGATAAAATCGGGGGGGCAGTTATGAGTACCAGTCTCACACTCGTCAATATCTGGTACGTCACAAAAAAAAACTGTTAGCAGGGGTGTGGCAAGGGATTTCCATCACAGTTCAAACAACACATAGTTAAAAACACCCGACAGACTAATTGCTCAGCATCCCTGCCTGCAATGCACTGCAGTGACCAGGAGCAATCTGACCTGCTGCCTCAACCAGGATCTCAGGGGAATAACTTAAGGGGATTTTATTATTTTCCTATTATTTTTATATCTAAGGGTGTGTCGGTGCATATTATGCTTTACAAGGTTAGTTCTCACAACTAAATGATCCAAACTCCTGCAGAGCACCTGAAGCATCACGTTCAGCAGCGTTCAGCCTGGATCCAGCACTGTGCTCAGCTTTGAAGTCAGTAAGATTTAATTATCAAAGTGCAATTTTAATTCTAACCTTAGATCCAATGCAGACATTGTTCATTTCTTTGTAAGTGAATTTATTTGCCTTCATTCTCAACCATATTAAGGTTTGCAGTATCCTTACATCATTGTGCTTTAATATGCACATAAACATGATTTCTGCTAACTTTAATATTCCCTTCCAGTTCAGAATAGACAACAAATATCTGTGAATAAATTACGGTTCAGATGAAGCAGGTAAAACAGACAAGGGCTAATGTGGCTTCATTCACAAATGCAGCCCTGTCCACATAAAAGCAACTAAAATTTCATATTTGCCACCAGGCAATGGAATGAGATCTCCTAAAGCTATTAATATGCAGAAGCTCTCTGGCCACTGGATGCCTCGGCTTTCCCAGGCATGCAGGTGACACAAGAGTAGATGAAACTGCTTAGCCTCGAGCTTTGTGAGACTTGGTTAATGACTGTGGAGCCCATTTTAAGTGTAGGATGGGTTAATACTGAACTGGGTTCAGCAGGGTTCTGCATGCAGGAGGTCTCAGTCATGTTGCTTGGCATTTAAACACCATACGTGAAAATTATTCACTTTATATTTTTACCTTTATTAACATAACATTAACAATTAACATTATTAACGTATCTTATGCAGATAAGAACTTTCTAAGATTAATGGCATGCAGGATTTACTATCTGTACTCCTTTTTTTCTATCAGAAAAGACTATCAATACCTGCCAGTAAGCTATTTGTTGGCCTAAATCTGATGTCACTCAAATCAGAGCAATGTTGCTTCAAAGGGATCCCAGTCAGACCACAATACTTTACAAAACATTGCCTGATGTTCTGCAGGTTTTGCAGTTGGAATTCATTCATCAGCTTTTTTACTCAGTCTATTTTTCATTACTGATCAGTTCCTACAGTAAAACTTTACTCGGGATTTTGGTTGAGTTATTTTACTCAGTGGAATGAAATTAGTTTATTTACAAACCGTTCTAAGCTCAGGGGGGACAGACTTTCTCATAGTAAAAACCAATTCCACATCAAATGCAGTTTGCTGCTGATTTCTCTCTGTAAAGGCGGCATGTCAGGTGAACTTATGGATGCATGGAACAGCATCCTTTGAGCCAGACACACCTGGAAATCAGCCACTGTTTCAGTAAAAAAGACTGTTACTCTTGTGGTCAAACATGGCTAGTCAAGACCAGTGCTTTTAGCCCCTTTTGTTTGGAGGATTCCAGTCTCCTTGCACGGGACATACCTTTGCAACGACTGTCATCTGTCAGTTCATAGCCGGTCCCACAGCTGGTGTCCCGCTGGCAGCGGAAAGATCCCAACGTATTGACACAGGTTTGGCCAAGCCCACAGCTGTGTGTTCCAGTGATGCACTCATTAATGTCTGGAGCAGGTAAAGTGATTTGAAACAATAAAAGAGAATAAATAAGAAGCATAAGAAGGGATGAGGTCAAAGGCAACATCATGTGCTCGAGTGTGGCGCAGATGATGTCTCCAGCCATGTCTGAGGGTGTTACAGGTGGGCTGTGCATCCATGGTCTGCTGGTGGAGGTGCCAGTGTTTGGGTAATGTTGGACTCAATGATCTTAAGGGTGTTTTCCAAACTGAATGACTCTGTGGTTTGGTTATAGTGCCCATAGGAATGAGGTAAACTGTCAGAAATCCTTCCCTTGCTCTGCCTCCAGCCTATGGCTGAGGCACTCCCCGAGCCACAAGTTCCAACTTTCTACTTTCCAGCTACTGATGGACAGTTCTTTTGTGCATTTTTTATCTTTGAATGCATAAAGGTGACATCCATGTGGAGCAAATATAAAAGTTCTTCCTTTTTATATTTAGTGCTATTTCAGTGTTAATCTGACCAATCAGCAGTATCTACTTTATATTCTGAAGTTTGTATATGAGCTACTTAGACTCTATTTTCAGTCAGTGACAGAAAAAAGCTCTCCTGATGAATAACACTTTTCCTCCTAGAACAGCTGTGCAGGACTCATCAATTACTATCGTCTTCTACAACAGAGAACAGGTATTTTATTTTGCTTTTATCCACAACAATAAATTCAAGATCTGCCTCTTCCCAATCTAAATCCTCCACCTTTTCTACTGATTCTTTCTTAACTTCAATTTCCAACAGTTCTCACTTCAACACTCCAAACCACCTTTTTATGATCTCACCTCTTTCCCCAGCTGGCATATTCTGATTTCTTCTGTCTAGATATGTTTTGGTCTATTCTTGCCCTTTTATAAAAGGAATGCTGATACCCAAGGCACTGATTTTATGTGTTACCTTCACAGGTGATACCGTCTGGTTGAAGCTGATAACCAACGAAGCAGGAGCACACGTAACTGGATCCTGTGTCTCTGCACTGCTGAGAGCAGGGCCCACCACCTAATGGGTATTTGAAACAGTCTTATGTAATGAGCAGGCTCTTCATAGCAACTGGAACAAACCATTAATTTATAGGATGCTTGATGACTTGTTTAAAAAAGCAGTTAACTGAACACATATATACAAAAGAAGGAAAGGACTAAGCTCTGAAAGCTTTACAAAATAATACAAGAAGGGTTATTCTTGCAGACAGAAAGAGAACAAATTTACAAAAATTTGGCTCATCATTAAAAAATCTTCCTTTTTCTGATCTTGTTTAAAGATAAATTAATATTAAAAGTGTTTAATATTCTCAAAATAGTGAAAAGGTTATGTACTGCCAGCTGGTAAGAGTAAAATATTCTCAGTACAGAACTTAAAAAAAAAAAAAAACAAAAAAAAAACAAAAGTGTTTTTCAGAATGGCTGGACAGGCATTAAACAAGAGGTTTGAGATGGGCACAATCCATGTGAGCAAATACAACTATACTACTTTATAAATACTTTTTATACAATAATTTCTGTAATTTCTGTAGCTATTTCTAATGAGGACAGGGCCATTAATCCACCACAGCAAATAGGCTGTAGGCAGAACTCCTGATTTGCAATTAGCCATAGCAATCCATCTCTTGCAGGCAGCTGATTAACTGACAAATACAACAACTGCTTACACGAAGAAATAATGCTAGGAAAATATGTAACACATTTTTCTATGTCATCTCCTGTAATTAGCAGCTGGAGACAAGCAGGAGAGGCAGTGTTAGCTCTCCTTTGCTAATGGAGACATTTCCACTCTCTCCAGTGTAACAGCTGTAGAAGACGGAGCACAGTAAATCATCTCTCAACTGGAATATGAGTCTATTAAATTGATTTTATCCTAAATACATTACTGAGTTCTGAAATGCTGGCAGAAAATAGTGAATCACTGCTGCTTTAAGTTTATAGACATGTAAATCACATGTGACAAGCAATAAATCAGAATGCTTAGCAGAACAATATCCCAAATACACATTCTTCCCGGGAGGCAGATAGCAGGATTAATGAGGACAGTAGCCACTTTTTCTTGCTTTCTTTTAGGTGATGCATCTCAAAAGGAAACAAGTTTCATTTCATATTCAAACACCCTGATCATCCCAGGAGAAGAACAAAAAATGCTCATATTTAATACGGGATCCCATGTCCTGAAGAACCCAGAGGACTCCACAGGTTCAAGGGTGACTGACACCTCTGAGGTATTACCCACTAGAAGTTAAATAAAAGTTAAATGTATAGTCTCAACTTCAGTGGTGTAAGATGAACTCCACTGTGGGAAACAATGCCTTCCTTGTATTTAGGAACTATTCAGGTATCACAGAATGGACCACTATTTCTTGGAAAGGCTCTTCCTTCTGTTATTTTTACCCTAACTAGCTTAGGCAAAGGGTTTTGGTTAATCTCTAGATCTAAGCTGGCTTCACTTTCATTGAAGGCAGTCACAAGGGAGCTAGCTAACAGGACTAGTCACCTGACTTACCTCTGCAGCCATCATGCAGATAAGGATCTTCCTGGTCTAATTCCTCCTTTGAAATCTCAACTAAAAAGAGAAGAGATAGGCATTAGAGGAGAAAGCACTTTTATTCTCAAGGTAAAATGTTGTGTTCTTGGGATGGGACTCAGACCAGGGTTTTGGATAAACCAGGACAAAATTAAAGAGCATTATTTACGTATTTTACAGGTATTTCATACTTAAATTTGACATTCAAATGCACATGGCCATGGGGTATTTTCCATCTGACTGATTCCATCTGAAATTCATGCTGTGATCGTAGATTACATATGGACTGAGATTCTCAAATGCAGGTTCTTTACATCAGGCTTTGAACCAGAGCTTAACCTCATTTTCATAAGACATGTTGTTGAGGCATGCTTGGCTTCCACTGACTTTATAGTAGCTTGGGGTACTCACAGATTTAATGAAAATCAGATTAACCTCAGTTATTTATTTAGACTTCATTCCAAAAAGAACTCCACACCCAACTTCTGGGCACCTACTTATGGCATTCTTTCAAATATACTTATATTCCTTAACCTGGAGAGTTTTGATCAGTGATACTTGTGCCACATGCAGAGTTTGTTCTGTCCACATGGAGGACATCAAAGGGCTGAACACACCCACTGCCTGAACCCATAGCTTGCCCAAAGGAATGTTCATGGACTTCCTCCAATGGCACAACAAACTCAAGATGCTTGTCCAAAAAGCTGCCCTACAAAATGAAGCCTTTGTGACTAACAACGTGTCTGTTTGAGTGGTTTGTTCTGCCTTCCTACAGGCAATTTTTATTGCCAACAGGGTTATTTGACATCTTGTTCCTTAGTTGCATGATGAGGACATTGTCCTGCCCTGCTTGTGGGCACAGCAGTGCCACAATAACCACACTACCAATGGCTGCTGCGTGTGCCACGTGCCCACAAGGGTGAGCAGGGAAATACTCACAGCCATGCTCCCAATTCTGCAGCATTTTCAGATGTTGACGTATTTCTCACATCATCAAGCTACACTGAATATGCAAATTTTTGTCATTAGCAGAGTGGTCTGAGGACAAGGGATCCACCAGCACTCAAGCATTTCTCAGTGGGTGAGATGCTGTTAAAAATTGATAGCTTATACTCAGCTTCCAAGACAAGATCATTAGTTGCCAAAATAAGCTATCTTACATTTAAGTTCTGACACCAGGAACTAAGTAACCACTTTGCAGCTCTTTTAGCCTCTTACTTCCAACAACAGCATTTCAGCTTTCACTAGCCAAAAAAATGAGCTCCAAAATATGAATCATTAAATTACTCAGATGAGATGTCAAGTTAGAAGAATTCCAACAGAAATTATTTAAAGTACAAATACTCCTTGCACTCTGCATCATTTTGTGCCTCCCTCTTTTAAAGCCTGCAATAAAATACCTTGCTGTTTTTTAGGAGCATCATCGCTGATGGACAGATCAATGCCTTCTGGGCCTTTCCCACAGCAAGATCTGAAGACAATTCCACACTGGTATCCCATCTTCGAGTTGGGATCACAACTCTGTCCTTGAACTTGGGCGGCCTTTCCCAGCAAACAACAGTAACAACACGTCTGTTAAAAGAAAATAAAACATATTAACCAAGTCAAATGATAGCCCTGACCAAGGTTAGTGTTACCAGGTCATATAGAGAAGCTATTTCGCTCTGAAAAGCACAGTCAAACGTTAATTAGTAGCATCACAGTCCTGCCATGGCTTCCAGCAATAATACATGGTATTCTTCTTCCAGAGGTGCTGAACTACAGCCTTGGAATACACCCCGTGGGTATTCCCGGGAATACACCACGGGAGTGAGCACAGGACAAGTTAATCCCATGGAGGTTTCCTTTGATTTCTAGTTGAGGAGATACTGCTGATTTATTCTGGTTTTTTCCTTGCTGTTAGAAAGCAGCAAAAGTTCTCTGCAACTGGTGTCTGCCAATTGCTACTGTCACGTGAAAGCAGAATTAAGTTTTTATTATTAATTTTGTTCTTCCAGACTCTATTTTGAAGAAAATAACCTGCACCATTAAACAGAGCAGATGTTTGTTTGGTGGGATGGCTCCTCACCACCCACTTCTGTTACTTGGTTCTCCAACTACTTCCATCCAGTGGCAGATGCTCCAGTTTTATCACTATTATGTCTGGGATTATTCCAACTTTTCTGGCTTTTCTGGATGCCTTTAGAAATAAATACTGGATGATCTCTTCCAAGAATTGCAACATTGCTCAATATTTATTCTAACACGTCAAGCAATTCCCTGAGGCGTCCTTCTCAAGGTTTGTAACATATGACTATAATTTTGTTAGATTTTTCAATTTTCACCAGCATAAATTAAAAGACAAAAATGAAAAGTGAGTTGAAGATTGATTATTTGACTTAAGCTTGCACATTTTTAATAACCAAATCTTATTTAAGCTATTGAATACAGCTGATGCCTTGCCAAATTTTGGTATTACATATTTCTAGATATCCTCACTGGTTTCTGCTGTCAGGCATATGAATTGACTCAGTCTGCTTCTTAGTCTTGTCACACGAGGTTCAAACTGGGAGTTACAGACTTTCTCTGGATGTTTTTAAGGAGTGATCATTAATCTTGCCATTCTTGAAGCGCTGAATAGCCTTTATTTCTTTCAGGTTGAACCACCACTTGAAAGACCTCAGTGTCCAGTTGATGTGAAACTTGGAATATAGAACTTGCTGAGTCTTGCAACATCTGCAAGAAACTGTATCTTCAATTAACTGATTGTGTGCCCTGCACCATTTGTTCCAGCCTATATTTATTCTAACTGTGCATGAGGCATCTTGGTTTAGCAGCTTGATAATGACAATAACTTTAGTTCTTGATTTGTTAAAGTTCTTATTATTTATGTTCCCACATAAGTCAGCAGCTCTGAAGGGTGAATCCTGTGCTAACTCTGCCTTTGGGATCTGTCCACAAGAGGTCTCTCCCTTGCTGAAATCCAGACAATATAACTGGGAGATGCTACGAGAAACAGACTGGAAAAGCACAAATAACTCAGCAGAATTTTTCAGCACTTTTGAAGAGCTGAACAAAAACTAAAAATATGTTCAACAGTCCAAAGCAATAAAATTTTTGTGCTCACCTAATTTACACAACTGAAGTTTCCTTGACAAAACTTGCAAGATAAGGATGTATCTCGGTCTTTGAAAAGTACTTAAGACAAATTTTAAAGGTGGTCAAATTTCTAGAAGCTTCACTTCTTTCTGCAGGGCTGTTGTGGTGGGAACTTCCGTAAAATCATTTCTACATCTCCTGTACCAGCAACAAATCTGGAAATTGATCCTTGTCATTTGATGAAGATTTTAAAGATTAATGATTCATTTTGCATCCCTTTTTCTTTTCCAAAGTCAGAAAAGCTCTGCTTCCAAACAAGCAGAGAGAAAATCCTGCCCAGCATTACCTCTGCCTGCCACCTTTACTGTAAAAGCTGAGGCAAGTGCTTTCAAAATATGGTCTTTTTATCTTCTTTCCAATCCCAAGTTTTGGACTCAAAGGAAAGATTAGCTGCCTGATTTGCTGCAAAGTGCTGCGATTAATCCTACTAATTGAATCACTAAATCATTCTTCCTGCTTCCTTGAAGGAGACAAAGAAGATCCAAAAGATTTTCTATGCGGCCTAAGCTAAATAAAAATGGACCAACTCAGGCCAAATGAGATTCAAGCCCATGAGAGACAGGCTTGGTGTGAATGTAAAAAGCTTGTTTACCACATCAGGGCACAAGAGCCAGACATTGTGTGTCTCAAGGTCATCACATTCAAAACATATTTAACAGAAAAAATGATGAATTGTTCACTGATATTAGATCATAACTCATCTATGTCCACCATGGATCAAAGGGTTACCTTGAAAGTTGCTCTTACAGCCACCTCAGGGAAGCTGTTAAGTGTAGGATATTCCTGTTAGAGAGTGGGAGGGCAGAACTTCGCTCACAAAGGTTCATTAACTCTGACCATGTTTATACCACTAAATTAAACAAGCACAGAATGTGGGCTCGAGGCATTACCCCGCAGTCATCTGTGGTGTTTAAATATCAGCAAGCTGTAATGGCAATGACCATGCCCTCAGACAATGCTGAGGAATATTTTGGGGTCAGCCCAGCGCAACCAGGGTTCCCACCAGCCCTCCTGCACCGTGTGCTGCAGGGAAGGACATCGGTCACGTGACAGCTGTGCTGAGCCACTGCCTACCATCTTCTATATTGAAGGGTTTTATTTTAGCTGAATGAACCATGCAGCATCTTTGAGCAGTAGGATGAACTAAAATCAGTCTCATCTATTTTCAACACCACTGAAAGAAGCCCATAATAGGACCAGAGCTGTTCACGACTGGGTCATGGGCAAAGTCCTGGTCCTACCTGTGGAACTTTCTTCCAAACACACTCTGCAGAGAGGTGTAACTATGCTCCCTTTCAAGCAATGAGAGACAAAGACAGTAATAAAGGCAGAGGGTAGGGCACAGATTAACTGAAGATGCCACAAGGACAGGCATTTTTATTCTGATGTCACATGCTGATATCACAGGCTGGTGGATGTCTCCATCCAGTTGTACATCAAAGTCATGTTCACTTAGGGCACTTACACAAGCTGGAATTACAAGTACCCTGAAAGGATTAAGTGCAGTCCTACCTCTCTGGACCACCAGCACTGAAAACCACCGAGTGTGACCTTGGGCCATGAAGCTCTAATGAAAGCTGAAGTCTGAAAGGCAGCTGAGCTTCTCACCCACCCCTCCCTGCAGCACTGATGTCTTCTTTTCATGCACAAGTGGTTTCCTGGCCAATTACCCATTCGAGACTTTCCACCCCTTTGCACTCTACCCTGTGCCTCTGCTAAAATGCCACGTGACAGCCTGCTTCCCAGAGATGGGGAGCTGCTTCCCAGAGACGGGGAGCTGCTTCCCAGAGACAGGTACAGAGTGAACAGCCTTAGCAGAGACACGAGGTGCAGGTGGGGAAAAACTGTTCATGTGCAGCAAAGTCTGCTGACCTTCAGGGCCAACCCTTCACACAGTCAACACCACTTCTGGAAGATGAACAGGAGCGGCTCTGATGCCTCACCTTGAAGTACTGGGCCTCACAAGTGGAATTTTCAGCAGCATGCGAGTCACACTCCTCGCGCACGTTGGCAAATTCCACCCCGTCGGAACAGGACTGCTTCTCCAGCTGGCTGCGGCAGCACTGCTCCTGGCTCATGCTGGGACACGGTGGGAGCAAGGGGAGAGAAATGGCACACAGGGGTCAGCAACAGGCACTGCAATCTGACAATCAGCACCTGAACCAGTTACAGTTCCTGTGGGAACACAGTCACATCATGAAGATATTCTCTGGCACCAACAGGTACAGCGTGTGGAACGAAGATCAGAGCATTGCTCTGGGGAACAACTGGAGATAACGGGGAGAAATGAAGATGCCAAGGGAAGTCCCAGGGAAAAACAGTGTATTGCAAGAAAGGGTCAAAGAAAGACAAGGGAAAGCAGAGCATTACAGGGCAGGGAGATGTGGAGAGGAGACAGGATAAAAGTGTGCGGGGAAACTAAGCTTTGTTAGTTCCACTGCTCATGAAGCCACTCCATTTTATCTCAGTGTCAGTGAATAAATTGGAAACTCCTTCCTGTAGGAAAAAAATCTGCACGAGGAAGCTTTAAACTCCTCCAATCCTATTGCTACTGCCCCCTGAATGCAGAGCCCAGTGAAGATCTCCCTCCACTCTGTTTTTATGGGTAACTCTGCTTTGTTAGGTAGCTTTGTGGGTGAACATGCCACCTTCTGTTACAGACACTGGGAAACAGAGAAAAAAAATAAAGATTAACAAATCAGATTACACATACAAGGATATAAACATATCCATGTGTTTTGTGGTAACCTGAATTCTTTAAGAATAAATGTTACCTGAGTTGGTAGGTATTCAAAATTTTCAAGTTTATGGATTCTATTTCTAGTACAGCAGGGGCACCTAAAAGGCATGACCTGTCAGAACTCTGTAAGAGAAAACCCCTACAAATGCATTATTATATCCATCTTATACATCTTACAGACCATCAACACTGAACACATTCTCTTTGTTGGTAAGAGCATTCCATTCACCCTTTTTTTTCCCCCTCAGCTCTAGTTATTTGAACTCAGATTATGCATCTCTGCACAGGGGTGAGGTTGTCAAGCTACACTCCCCAAGATTCCCAATTACTATTTATTGGATTGCACACAGGTCCTTTCCAACCCAAGCCATTCTGTGATTCCACAATTCCATGATTAGTAATGGTCTGACAGTGCAGTTCTCACTTGGACAAAAACAGCTCTGAGATTTCGATGCATAGGAACAAAACCCAGGATCAATTAATGAACAAATCATTCATAAATAGACTCTAAAGTCACAGCAAGAAGTCAGGCCCAGGACAGTAACCTTATCTGGCAGGATATTTGAACGTTTTGATATTTGATTTGGTTCCAGTTTGGAAGAATATGTAGCTTTTTTGTTGCTGAAATTCCCTCTGAAGCAGAATTTCCATTCCCTGCCCAGCTCTGGGGTGGTCTGACTGTCAGGGTTTTGGAAGCCTCTAAAACCTGAACTGCAGGCCCAAGAGTGTGGGAACTGAGACTTTCCAGCTCCCTTAGCCCTGCAGGTTGTGCTCAGGAGATATGTTAGCCCGGGACAAGCAAACAAACAAACAACAGCCTTTCGGGAGATCTGCTTGATTCCCAGGGTGCCTCTCTGTTTTCAAACACAAGCCATCTCTTTGAAATCCCTGACAAATTGGCAATTTCAACCAAAACAAGAAAGTTTCTTACAATGTTTCCCACAGCTGTATTCCTAAGTCATGTGGCCCACCCCAACTGTAATAAGGAATTAAGCATCGATTGAATAATAGAATAAAATACCATTTGTTCATTCTCAGAACAACAACAATAAAATCACACTTCATTGGGTGGCTTACAATATTGGCCTTTAAAAACAGAGAAAGTAGAGCAGCACTTTCCTGTGAATTTGGGGTTTTTTAAATTATTCTTAATATTCAAAAAAGCAAAAGGCTGCCTTTTCCTTATCTGCCTGAGTTAAAACATGCAACAGAACTTCCCTGAAAATAAACAGGTATTCACAATATGGCTGAAATCTTAAAACACTAAATATTGAATCTCCAGGAGCATGAGGCCTCATAGCTGACACTCACTCAGGATATTTCAGGTAAAATCATGCATCTCTGAAAGATGAGTTTTATTCATGGCTCACTAGTGAACATACATCACTCACACAAAAAAAATCCTTATTCTCTGTTTCAGGTGTTGATCTAAAATTAAAATTATTTTATCTCTAGATAATTTGATTAAAAATCAAGTTAAGAAATCATGTTTCATAGTCTCATTTTACTTTTAATTAAAATTTAACCAATGTTACTGATTTTCATGGAGTTAATTTCCAGGTGAAAATCTACATGCCCATTTACCTCCACAATCTTTTCACATTTATTATCCTCCTTCCCGGAGGATGCACTCCTAAACCATTACAGATTTCAGAATCACCTATTTTTTTCTTTCCTTTTTTTTTTTTTTTCCCATAAAAGCATTAAAATTTTACTTTGCTCTGAAAACAGCCTAATTTCATTAACCCCTGCCTGCCTCCTACTTACTTCAAGCTACGTCAGTGCTATTCATGTGCAGACTGGAAGGTCTTGAACAAACTATTAAAATTGAAAATAATGATTTTGCAAAAACAAGCCAGGTCTTCCACCCTTACATTCCTCAGTCTGCATTCCTGCAACACTAATTATAAATAATGTTATTCCCTGTGTAACTCCAAGAGGACTTTACGCAGTGTCAAAGGCATGCAATTCCCATATGGAGATATGCTGTTTCTGGCATGGGAATCAAGTTCACTTGCTAAGAGCTCTGGGCAGGGGAAACTCTTCAGTTTGAAAGGAAGAAGATTTATTGGGCAGGTTGAGTTCCAGAATGAAATGGCAGCTCTTTCCAGCTGCTGTGAGTTTAACCACGCCATGAGGAAATGAATGAATGGGCAAAGAGCTGCTGCTCTGACAGCCAGGACGTTGCTCATGAAAACTCCACACTGGTATTTACTGAGTCACAGAGACACAGAGATAAACACTGTCATTGTCCAGAGTGAGAGCACCAAGAGAGGAATTCATACCTGGGGCAAGAAACCGCAGTAGGAGATTGCAGAGTTTTGAACCCAGAGCCTTGTTTCAGCTTGAACACCATGGTCAAACAGGGACCAGATGGATCTCAGAGCTCACGTGCACTTCAGACAGGTTGGTTCACCTCGTGCAGGACAGGACAGTGATCATACCTGCAGTTTGAACTGCACCACACTCAACAAGGGACACTCACACAGCTGGCAAGTCCCTCAGGAACCACAAGAGGCTTTGGGGGAAAGGATCCTAAAGAGATGCTGGAACCCAGACCTGTTACCTCGTTTCTGGGGCACACAGCAGATTCCAGAATAATGGTGCTTGAGAGGAAAGCCTTCCTTCCTTCACTGTGGAAGGAATTCTCCCCAATGAGGGTGGGGAGGCCCTGGCACAGGTCCCCCAAAGAAGCTGTGGCTGCCCCATCCCTGGAAGTGTCCAAGGCCAGGTTGGACAGGGCTTGGAGGAACCTGGGCTGGTGGAAGGGGTCCTTGCCCATGGCACAGGGGGAACTTGATGGGCTTTAAGATCCCTCCCAACCCAAACCAGTCTGGAATTTTATGATTGCTATGGATGTGTTTTAAATGGTTGGGAAAAGGTCAGGGTGGTGCAATTCTAACTCAATAGGACAGCTGGCAAGCACAGGGCTTGCTTTGAGGGAAGGACTGAATCTGAGACACCGCTAAGTTATGACAGTTGTAAGCACATGACTCAAAACCAGCAGGTAAATTCTTGTGAAGCATGTCAGGGAAGGCACTCACATCTGATCTGTCCTGTTAGCACAGCCCTGGCACAGTAACTGCACCAAATCCCTCATACTACATGAACTGTATCAAACCTGCTCCCTTCCCAATGCGCTTTCCCCTCACATTCAGCTCTGAGCCTCGCAAACTGAGCTGAGACACACAGGATGAGTAACTCCCCCCTGGATTTGCACCACACTTTTCTAGAGCCCTCAGAGCCAGATGGTCAACACTGAGCTGCACTGGAGGTCAAGGGATCCCAGCTGAGGTTTAAACAACCACATAAATTCTGACACATGCCCCCAGCAGCTCCCACTGCTGCAGGTGTCTAAATAGACACACTGGCACCAGCCCAGACCTCAGCAAACACAAGGAACTGGGTTTGTTCCTATCTCTGTGCAGCAGGAATAAATTGCTGAGGGAATTGTGCTCCCTTGGGGCTCTCTCTGGCTCCAGTCACACCAGCAATTAGGAGTAGAATTTGGCCCTTACTTTTGTGTCTGAAATGCCATCACAGGGTGAAAATGGCATCCTAAAGTGATTTTTCTGTACCTCTCACAGCTGTGCCAGCTTGCAATCATAACTGGAGTAAAATAGTATTGTCATTAAAGAAATTACCCCAAGGTGCCAATTTAACTTACTCCTTTTTAGAGTGAAGCCCAGCTTTGGGAGGAGCCATGTTTTTTTCTTGTGCAGCCATGGATAAATGCAACTGAACCACATTTATCAGCTTCAGGTGTTATCAATAATTGTTCATATCTACCACAGAATATGTGCCTTTTATTTTACTATTATAATTTTCTTAATTACACCTCAGTTAAGTACAGAAGCTAGAAGAAGCATTTAGTAAGCTTTTTTTCAGTTCCTATGAAGTCTTAGAGAGTCTCTAAAATGAAAATCTTTAGAAGAATAAATTTACAGCAGAATGACAACTCACATTAATCAAATGATCATTAAGTCATCAAGATTCTTGCTCCCAGATTGTTCAATAAACTTGGTTTCCTGTTTTTCCTACCTCTGTTTTGTCTGCAAATCTTATAACCCTTCAAGTATTTCCTAAATTGGCACTTTAGTCCTATCTGTCAATTCTTCTGCGTAAAAGACTGCTCTCAATGCCAGTGTAAATGCAGAAGCCAGAAAACATGGACAGACTTGCCTGGAAGACAAATTCTTTCCGTAATAAAGATCAATCCAACACTTCTACAATTACCAATGTTAAATCACTTTGCAATCCACTTGAACGGGGGGGGGGAAAGAAAAGCATTTAAAATACAAAGTTCTCTGGGAAGCTGCCCCTCCAACCACCAATCACAGATTGTAAGCTCCACTAGTTAAGTGTAACAAGTGCATGCAACAGCAAAAATAACACAAACTATCATTGATATAAAAAATAAGAATGACACAACCCTGTGAGAGATGCAGTAGAACCAAAATCTTACTGTGCAGGTGATTTTAACATTTAACTTCACTACTTCGTTTGGTAGATTACCGAATTAGTATCCTATCAATTATCAACAGAAATAAGAAATCTGTTTATTAACTAAAAGGTACTATTTTCTATAGTCAAACACATTTCATAGAATCCTAGAATGGTTTAAGTTGGAAGGGAATTCAAGCTTCATTCCACCCCTGCCATGGGCAGGGACACCTTCCACTAGCCCATGTTGCTCCAAGCCCCGTCCAGCCTGGCCTTGGACACTTGCAGGGATGGGGCAGCCAAAGCTTGTCTGGGCAACCTGTGCGAGGGCCTCCCCAACCTCACAGGGGAGAATTTTTTCCCAATATTCAACCTAAATTTCCCCTTTCAGTGTGAACCCACTGTGAACTGATGACCCCATTGAAATGTGCCCCATTTGAAAAGGAACACAGGAAGGATTGTCAAGAGAACATGCTGTTACATAGAGTGCTGTCTGTTTTCAGATGGAACTGAAACATGGAAACAGGAAAATGGAAACTGTATCTGAATATATATAACACACAACTACGTACCTGCATTCTCTGGACTCGGATATCAGTGGCAGAGAAGCACACGTTCTGTTTTTGTTTGCCCATTCTACACCCTTGTCACAGCATTCTTCCACTGACAGCTCTGCAGAAAAAAAGCCACAACAGTCTATTTAATAAAACTTTGCATCTGCCTGTTAAAACTCCCCCAAGCAAGAACAGGGCACCCAGACCCAAGGCAGCCATGGCCAAACCAAGCTCCTGGCAGCACCTTGCAATAAGCCCAACTACTATCAAATGGGGCAGTAGCAATAAGCAACCTTTTAAAATCCTGAAGAATACAGGATAAATCAGTGATATCAGAGACAGCTGAATCTCATTAAAAGTAAATTTGTGAAACTAGTTTTTCCTGAGGTTATTACCCAAGTAATCTGTTTTACACAAAAATATGCCTGTAAATGCCAAAGTATTGTAGAGAAGGGACAAAAAGTATATGGTATTTTAATCACTTAACATATGACAGAAAAATTAATCCAGTTACCAACTTACACCAAACCTGAACCTAAGGGGAAAAGCACATTGAAGACAATTATTTCTGTAGAGTGTATTTTTGCGAGTCTTTAATTTAATAAAACTGAATACTGTTAATGAACTGACAAGCACTACAGGTTTGCTTCATATTCCAAGTGCAAAAGTTCACTGCACAGCAGGTGTATCAGAACTTGGAATAAACCAGGAGTCACATTTTCCTATTAATTATTTTGTAGTCTGAACACCGAATAGCTCCTTGTGTAACAAATACACAATGTGTGTAAAAAACCCCTGTGATTACTCAAAGGGACAGCTTTCTAATGGTTTCTCTGTGTTTCATAAGGTTTTTGGCTGATGGCCCTGCCAGGTTGCTCCCAGGAGTGCTGAGGGATGACACCGCCAGGCCACGCACGATTACCTGAGAGCTCACGGGGAACCAGAGAAGTTCCTGAAGAACAGGAGAGAACAAAGGCCTCCCTGACCTCAAGGACAAGAGAGAAGATCTTCCTTGGACACCTCCAGGGGTGGAGACTCCAAACCTCCCTGGGCAGCCCCTGCCAGTGCCTGACCATCCTTTCCAACAAGGAATACCTCCTGATGTCCAACCTGATGTCACCTGGTAGAGGCTTGAGGCCAGTTCCTCTCTTCCTGTCCCTTGTTCCCTGGGAGCAGAGCCCGACCTCCCCCAGCTCCCTATCAGGGAGTTTGAGATCCTTGCCCACATTACCCATCAAGCTGGTGGCAGAACAGGGAGTGCACACCAGGTCATTCCCAGGCCTCCCGGGATTGTCTCATCCTTAGCTCTGGTCCAAGCACATGTAAAGTGAGCACATTTCAGCAGGCAGCCACATTATAGTCAAGACTATCCATCCTCACAAATGACTTCCTGCAGAGCCTCCTAAGGACAAGCACCTGTCTCCTCTGGCTCTCCCTACACCAGTTACAAAGCCATTGTTCCCAGGTGCTCCTGATGTGTGGGGGCTCCAATCCTCTCCCATCTGTCCACATACTCACCTCCTAAATAGTTTCAGTTATCAAAATAAGTGGAAATAATTAAACCGTTCATGATCACAGTAAGTTTGACACACATCAGAATTTGCTCAACTGGCAAATGTTCAGATGTGGGGAAGGAAAAAGTAGTTGAAAGCAAGTAGAAAAGATAACTCAGGGTTTTTTTGCAGGGAACAACTTGTATTCCCAACTAGTGATTATAATCCTAGAATTCAAAGTACAAAGGAAAAAGTTAAATGAGATTTTAAGATGCATCAGTCATCTTGAGGTAGGTACTCTTTTGTACAGTCAATTGTACAGTGTAAAGCTCTGGAGTCCTGCACAGAATTCTGGCTTTAAGAAAGATTACATCAAAATGGAAAATGAGTAAAGAAAGATTAGGAGGAGGGCCAGGGGAATCAAAGCCCTGTTATATGAGGAGAAACTGGGAGAAACAGACCAACCTGTGAAAGGATGTGGGTCAACAAATATTACAACAGTAAACAATCTGGATAATGGGATCCAGAAAAACAAACATTTTAGTAAGAAAATAATGAAATGGAATTACATTAAGTGTTAGTTTATAACAGAGTTCTGCACTCTGTGACCCAGGTCACCCTTCTACTCTTACTTACATATCCAACGTAACAGTCAAAATTCTGTCATTACTAAGTCAAAGCAGTATTTCTCCTGAATCCCTCCATGTGTCCAGAATCCATGCCAGTGTCTGAAAGCTAAATGCAGTTTACAATGCTACAGAGAAAATCAGTCTAGTAAATAACCATCTGCCTGTGGTGAAAGCCATGCATTTGTGTCTGAGCTCTTCTCTGGGAATAGGGACCCTGTCCGGAGCTCTCTGGCTGACAAACATCATATGCATCAAATTTCATACAATGGGTTGCAAGTAACCATGTTTTTAGTGCTGCTGTCTGCAATCAATCTTAACTGTGTTGAAAAATGATACACATTTAACTCAAGTGCAGAGCTGGCTGCAGGTTTTTGAAGGGCTTTGTAAAAAATGGTTTTTGGCCAAGTTCCTCCCCAGAAGGACAATCCCTGGCTCTGGACACCAGTTCTTCTCTCCAAGCTCTGGCAACACACCTCTACTCCAACGAAATAACTCAAGAATTCAAAGCAGGCCAAGCTAAGCAAGTATGTCTGTAAGAGTGCATCCAGACAAAGCAGGATCATGGAGAGTTTGCTGAAGGAGAACTGTGGTCCAGGCTCATTGTTTTGGTGACATCACAATTCATATCCTCCAAAGGTCCTGCCAAAAATCTCCTGAGAATAGAGTGAAGTGAAAAACAAGCAGTAAAAAAGGACTCCACCCTCAAGTCCATTCTTCTATAACATAGCAATTAAACAGTGAAAAACATTTTCTCTTGGCTTTGCAGTTGCTCTAAAAATTGTAATTTGTGGGCAAATCCTTACCCTTTCCAATCTCAGAAAGTGTGTGAACCAGAAGTGATTCTGACCACCTGGGCATTCAGGGTTGTTAATGAGTATTTAGGAACAGGCCCCTTATCCTCTCCTAGTTGTATTTTTCCAGGAGTGTGGACTCAACTGCACACACACGCATATTCATGTCACTCCCAGTTGGAAACCTTTGGGCAAGCAGTTCATTCTGAGGCCACCTGTGCCTCCTGACACCCTCTTCAGGGAACCAACAGCACAGGGGGCTACAGACTGCTCCTTCATGGTGTGCAGGGGATGGTGCACTGGGAGGCAGATGGCAGAACTGCTCTGATTACATCTCGAAGAATCTCACTTTCTGAACAGAAAAGAATGGTTGTTTTTGCTCTGGCTGTGACCCTGTGTCTCAGAGCAGCTGATGGCTCGTGGCACCCCTCACAGCTGGAGCAGGCATGACCAGTCTGCTCTTCTGAACCCGGTGCTCCTTCAAGGATTCTGCCAAGTGCACAATATTTCATGCAAATCAGCCTGAGAACTCCCAGGCATCTGAGAGAGAACGCCCTTCAGGGAAAGGCTGGTGACACACTCTGTGCTCAACTGCAATGTGCCCCTTTATTTGGAAGGGGAAGTTGTGACATTCAGGAATACACTGGCTGGTCCATTTTGTAAATTTGAGAAGCACTTGTTCAGCTTTCTGGTTTCACAAGACAGAAAAACATACTAACCCAGAGCTCTGCTTAGATGGTAGCACGGTGACTTCCTTTTCTAGATACACTCATTTTGCATGCTAAAGGACTAGTTGAGAAAACCCAAGTTTATTTTGGATAAAATCCAACACAGCTTTATGACCACTTTGTCCCTTTACCTAAACATGTGCAGCAGGGTATCCAAAAGAACTCGAGCTGTGTTGTGCGGTGACAGCGAGGACGCCTGTCCTGATGGGAATGTGGCAGTCTGTGTTGGATTCCCAGGGAGATTTCTGGAGTCTCGGGAAGAGAACAGCAGAAACACAGCTGAAACTCAGCTCTCTAATTTTACAAAAGCTGTCATGAAGAAAAGCTACCAGATAAGATACAATTAAGGTCAAAACTGTTCAAACGTTTTGTGTGCATGATGCATCCATGGGCTGGCTCTGAACTATGCACACAGGCACAATGCGTACGAGCATATGGTTGCTTTAAAAAAAGGTAGATTGCTAATCTTGACAGGATTGCCATACTGTGTGGGAGTTCAAAGCAAGAAATGTGGTTAATATCTGCATAACCTTAGACTTTTATGATGTAATAATTGCTTATTCAGCTGCTGCAGTGAATATTTTCTGCAAAAGGAAGATAAGCTTAAGAATGTTACCCAAAAGCATGATTCCTGGAATGAGAAACCCTGAATTGCTTCTGGGAATTGTGCAAAAAATAAGCAGAAGTAAAAAGGACTGGATAAACTTCATGGCAATAGCATTCCAGTTAGATGAAAAAGGGACAGATTTTTTAGGTAACAATCTACAGTAGCAGCTATTCTGTACAGTTGCCTCTGATGGAAACGTCTATGCACAGTCCAGGATTGGATAGCTGTTCATTACTCAGTGCTGATCCATGGAGCAGTTATCTATCTGAAGCTGGTACCAAACCAGAGCTACACATGGGCCTAGATGGGTTTCCAAAGTAGTGCCAGCAAAGTTTGCCAGTTCTTCAGGGCAGTCACTGATGTGACCCTCACACCCATCAGCTTCCCAGCCCCCATAACCAGCTGTGGTTGGGTACAGGTTTGGAACTGAGTCCAGGTCAAGGGATCAAAGTCCTACCTCCTTATTAAGGTGGTTTCAGTCTTTTAAGCACATTAATCGATGAAGTTTGTAGGATGTGGTTCAGAGCTTGTCCTTTGCTCAGTTCCCTCTGTCAGAGGCTCAGCACAGTGGGATGTGAGGAAACAGAACGTGATTCTCACTCCTCAGCATACGAGGATCCAGGCAGCAGATGGACTCTGTGAGAGCTCAGCACTACTCCAGCACATTTCACTAACAGTAGGTCAGCCAGAACTTTTGGAACTCGTGATTACAACACATATGTATTGGTTTAGGTTTCCAGTAACAAAATCACTTGCAACATTCCCTGTGTACCTTTTTGACAACACCTTTCCTGTCCTGTCATGAAAACTCTCTCACTAGTGATGCTCATCTATCTAACTGCCAGATGAAAAAAGCCCAAGCCTACTTAC